TATTAGTGAACTACATTAAAATGAAATGAATAAAATAAATAATTACTCATTTGTAGTATATGAAAGTGAAACTCAGTATTTTGCAACATATTTTATTATCTTAAATGTATTACTTTAGTGCTGATATTTTGACTGAATTTTGATCAGTCTTAGTTGGCCTTATTTGTATTCCGTGCAGATTGCCTCGATATAGTCTTTATATCACCATTCTTATGGAATTTGATTAGAAGTGGAATCCAAAAGGTAAGTTTCATTTTTATCTCAGAGTGAATATCAACCGTGAGATGAAGGTAGATCCTAATGACAGTTCCCACATAGGACAAAATGCCTGTCCTAGATTCCACTGTTAGCTACATTTCATGAGTTTTACAAAGAAAAACATTTTTTATTTCACTTCGATGATTTGCAGGTAAGTAGACTTATGGCTAAATACAACAATTAATTGATCGTTAATAGTAATCAGTTGAAAGACTAAGTATTTTTTGTGAATGTAACTAGAGTACAACTCTTGAACGAAAAACAACTCTACGTATGAAATAACAGAGAATTGTTTATTGGAAAAATAAGAATTAGCAGCATGAAAATTTTTCAATGCAAAAAAACAATGTTTCTTTTATATTTACAGAGGATTATTTAAGCACCTACTCATGAAATTCAGAAAAGGAGAAATCGGGCATGTTAGTTATGTTTTGAGAAAAATGATCACATAACATAAAAGTTGTAGTGTTCTAGTATCAACATGAAAAGGCCGTGTATTATAAAACTGTACATAGATAAAAATTATATATTGTGGTAAATGGTGTGCTTTTGTAACCAATATAAATTGAGAGCATTATTCGAGTTTGAATGCTCTAAGCAGACTACATCAAGGAAAGAGATGCTTCCAAACGTGACTAAGATTAGGCTTGAGTAAATGACTAACAAGATTAGTTTTAGAGTAGGAGACAAAACTGATGTGTACACATTGCATAAACCATTTGCGAAAATTCGTTTGAGAAACGGAGAAATTTGAAACCCTCTCCCTCATTAGGCCAAACTTAAAAAGATTATTAGTGTGTGTCATTAAATGTATTTATAAGTTACACTCTAATCCATCTCTTGAACGGAATACATGTAGTTGTAAAACTGTATACATTTAGTGACTAATAACGGATTTGTACTGGTTTCGATGCTCCAGAGCTATGAGAGCGATAGGAAAAATCCAAATAATGATAAAAAACAACTGCTACGACATTACTGTATTTATACACTAAAAAGGAATAATGTTAACAATGATAAAATCCTAAAGACGGGAAACTAAAAGACATACATACATAAGTAAACGAAATTACGTCATAATAACAATAGTGAAAATTGAATATAATTGATGTGAAAGCACCAATAAAAGTAATTGAAGTAGCAGTAGTATCTAGTTACTACTAACAGAGGACACCCATTCAACTGTAAGAGAAAAATACGAATTTATGAAGAAATTGACTAAATAGAAAAACAAACATGGAGTACTTCACTACAGTAAAAGTACGTATAATTGTGCATGAATGACAAAAAGTCAGCAAACACAAAACAAGACACAACGAGAAAAACACATCAAAAGATAACAATCATTGAAAATACAGTAATATATCAATGTTTTTTTTAATATTTTTGCAAAGAAAATAATGAAAGTGTTATGTAAACTTAGTAAAAGACTTTGGATATCAAACACTAACAAAGCGAGTAAATAAAACAGGATAAAATCACCAAAACTACCGGTGGAAGAAACAAAGCAATAACAATTACGTTTTTATATTTTGCATATGGAGCAATAGAACTACAGATCTATTACGTTTACCACATCTATCAACACTTATATATATGTACACACACATTTAAAATATAACTAAACTACATATATGTTTATATACACATACATACATGTACATCCATCATTACAACGTAAGTTGGACAACGAAGTTTTGTTTTTTTGACAAGAAAGAAAATAGATAAATAGCAAAACACAAAAAATTAGGTTGTATATTGTAACAGGATAATAAATGCAAATATTATATACATATATATTATATATATAATATGCAAATGATCTTTGTTTTATTTACGAAGTCCGATCAAACCGTTCAATTTTTCGTTTTTCATGAATAGATTCTAGTAAAAATCTCACTTTCTAAATTTGTGGCTTAGTGCATATATTTTCTAAAACAATAATAGGGCTGTAAATTACTCGAGTTTGCACAGACTGATTTTCGTTTGGTGTTAAAATTTTACTTGACAAATAATATATTATTTTTATGGCACTAGTTTAATTAAAGAATGATATTTTGTGAAAATATTAGAAATTCATAAGGAGATACGAAACCTTGAAATCTTTATTAGGTATTTTATGATAATAATCGATACAAAAGTGGATTTAAAGTGTTACTGACATTTCCAAAATACATATTGGTAGAGATAGAATGTAATGATGGACATTTCTAGCCCAGGTAGATGTTATGGTCAGAGGTTAAACGAACAATAGTCGATAGAAATAAAAAGACAAATCATGTTGATAAAACCTCCGAAGACAAGATTAGAGAATAGGACTTAGAGCTTGCGGAATAATTATAACAGCTCCATGTAAGGTAAATGCGAAAGTTGTCCAAAATGACAATTAAAGGTTCCTAGTTGAACTGCCAAATCCAGAGGACGTAACTCAACAATATATATATATATATATATATATATATATATATATATATATATATATATATATATATATATATATATATATATATACTGAGATGGTACATCAATGTCCTTAAAAATTTTGATTAGTAATAATTACGAGTAAAATCCAGAGATCTGTTTGGAATCTTCAAGAATTCCCCGAAAACGTCTTCAGAAAACACGGGAAATGCTGAAAACTATTGAGTTTAAGCACCTAATTAGAACTTCCCAGAAACCTCTATAAAAAGGAAGCATTATGTCCTATACTCTAACCAGAACTCATACCAACTTTGTTACTAAACTTAGCGTGCTTCCAGAAGTCTGCCGAATGTGGAGGCTATTCATACATCAGTAAATAACATTGAAGTAAAGCTTCTGTTCTTATTTAGTGTTTTATTTGTAACTTTGGAGGACCAAGTTTAAGAGAATTGTGCGGAACTATGGAGCGACTAGGAAGTCATTATCAAGCATTTGAGTACCACACACATCAAATAAAACTGAAATATCAAAACCAATAATTAATAGATAATCAATGTAAGATGAGATTTATGGAAACTTCAGGTTCATAGAATTTTTTCGATCAGAACATTTGAAGCAACTTAAGAAAATCAGCAGAGGTATCGTAAAAATAATAACACAGTACATAAACTGATGCCAATGAGAAGTAAACTTTGTTAATCACTTGTATAAGTGAATCTACTTATATATATATATATATATATATATATATATATATATATATATAACCTAATCTTGGACGAAATGTGATGATTTACTTTTTCTCATATAGTGATAACAAGTATATACATGTTCACAAAATGCTATCTTATTTTATGAATATGTTTGATTATCTATGAACCACTTTATGAAAAAAATCTTGAGAAAACATTAAATGTAAGTGGTAAGAGATGAGGTAATGTATTTTGATCAGACTGACCTTAAATGAACCCAAAAATTATACAGAATAGTCAGCCAGAAAAGCTACGCGAAATCTCAGACGGTATACATTGTTAGAAGAGAGGAGAAAGTGAGAAAAAAGATCAATAACTGTACATTGAAAGTAAGATAAAACAAAATTGGTGGTAAGAATTACAGACATTTCAAATGTTGAAATATTAAGGTCATATAGGCTGCTGTTGCATAACAGTAAAGTATTTATTATTCACACTTTCAAATAAAAGCATTATGCAGGTATTGTCTTATATTGAGAATTGATCAATTGGTACATAGTTTAGACAGAAATACTAATGCGAGCATTTATGTTTTGTAAATGCTAAGTTGCATTTATTTATGTAAATCGAAAGAATAGGAAGGTAACTTTTTGCTATATAGAGATAACAAAGAATATATAAGTGATAATAACAAGTTGTGTACTTAAACTGGAAGATTTATTCTTAAAGTTAGCTTAGTTCTTAATAGCGGTTATATGACGAATTGAGGAAGATGGTGGCAATCAGTTACTAGGCAAAAATTATGTAGTTTACAATCTATCAGAGTCTTGTGTTGATTTCAATATAGGTGTTTTCATACAACTATGTGAAGAGGTTTATGAGTAGCATCTCTATGTAAGGTGACAGATTGGTTAATAAATAATATTTATGTCCTTACGTACGAAAAATCAGTAAGGAGGGAGCAAAAAATATCTGGAATTGTCAACAGATAATCTTGAGAACCTATCACGTACACAGATTTATATAGTATTTCAAATCGTTTTTTTAATTTCAACAGGGTTTTTTAAAATAACCAAAAAAGTTTAAAAATTTTTTTTCTACGTTTTTTGAAATAACCGCAGCGTTTTTAAAAATCTTTTTTCATAATCCTTACATGCCAGAGATGAACAGAAAAAAAAACAAATTAATTTCAAATGAGAAGAGACAATGCCTCGTAAAAAAAGTTATTGAAGACGGATATAGTGTCAGAGGTGCCGCATTTCTTGTGGGCGTGAATTATCAGGCTGATGAAAATGTTATAAGGCTATATAAATAATTCTAAAAAAACGCAGACAGAATTCAAAAATATTTTTGGTTACTTTAAGAAACCCTGTTGAAATCTAAAAAAACGAGTTGAAGTACTATGCTGTTATGTATGCACTATACTTATAAATAGTAAAAATCTTCATTTTAGCATTGACTTGTTAATAAAAATAGCCACATGAACAGAGGAAGTAATTCACCAATGATTATTTGGTTTGTCAACAATATATTCATCAGTGCATAACAGTCATTGGAAAGTCAATTAGTCAAATAAATAATGATACCAATATGAATGAAATAAAACCATGGTACAAATAATTTACTTACTTTCATCTTTAGACTTATCTTGATTTGATTTAAATAATGGAGAAATCTCATTCTTAGAAATTAAACCACTTGATTTGGACGAAATATTAAAGTTCCCTTTTAGACAATTGTATCTATTATATGGGGAAAATTATAGCGTACACAATTACTACTTTAACAATGTTGAAGTTTGAAATAATCATTATTAGGATAAAATGACTGGGAAAATAATTAAATACAAAGGTATAGTTTAAAAATATAGCAACTATTTTGTTAACTATTATTTATTAGTATAGGGTTGTGAAGATTATTGAAGTTAGGAATTAACACGGTTGAACGCCGGCTCAGTGGTTTAAAGGTTAAGAGTTGGAGCGCAAGACCGAAGGTCCTGGGTTAGATTAGCGTACGCGAGGTCGTAGTAGATGCGCACTTTGAGGGAGTCTTATACTAGGATGAAACGGTCGTCCAGTGCTTCTGGGTGTTCAATAATAGTCGAACATTGACCAGTTCGAGATTTCAGTGAAATTATTATTTAATTTATACAAAATCTGGTAGAACCGAGCACCAAAAATAATATGTCCTAAAAAGTTTTGTGTGGGCCGTGATACTGTCTGGGTGCCTAGACAGAAGTAGGTGGTCTCCTTCGAAGGCTATTCTCAAAGTCATTAACCTAGAGATCTAATTTAAAAGAAGATGGAGTATCGTCAAGAGATACCGCCTCACGAGAGCCGGTGGCAAAAATAGGTTTATAAGCCATTTGTTCCCTCAGGTTTCTAAAGCACGTATTCACAATTTGTCTGAAATCAAGGCTTCTCAACTCCCTTACATGAACCCTTAATAGTCACCAAAACGATTTAAGAGCCTGATGTTCGCTTTTCGCTTCCTCACTTTTTTAAACAATACTCTCATCGTCTGAAGGCAATTAGTAGGACTTCTCTGGTAGATGTTATAGGCGAAAGGTCGCATGGTAGCATTCTGGAAGGGAGGGCAGACTCTTTTCTTCGTTAGCTGTACCAGGGCAATAACTCAAAAGGTAAGTTAAAAATATAGGAAGTGTTCCAAAAATGGTTATATTTACACTTTTAAATACCAGTGGAATCTAGCTGGGTAGTAGAAATAGTTGTTGTCTGATCAACTAATTAGACCAATTAAAAAAACATATTGTATATTTATTAAATTAAATAATGGACAGAAAGGCTTTTGGCGCAAAAATAAATATTTCTAACCAATGAGTAAGTTAAGCATATAATATTACTGAACTGTGTACAGCTAAAAATGGAGTGCAAAAAGTATCAGTGAAGTAGGATAATGTCAATTATCTGGCACAAATAAAAATTGTTATATTTGTAACTTCTAACATAAAAGTATTGTGACGACAAGAACTCCTATGTAATAAGTAGATGAGAGAAAAATTATTGTAGTATTTGGGATTTTATCCGAGATTTCAGCATCACATCGGTAACGGTGACGCAGATACATTTACATCCTGAGATTTTGCTATATTCCGACGAGATAATTTTATCTCACTGTGTTGGTGTAATGTGACAACGTGTGAGAATGTATATTTGAGTAGAGCTTTTACGTTACTAATGACTGACTGGTCTTTTGATTCACAAGTCATAAACCATAAATAGCATCCAGAAATAAAGGACATTGATAGTTATTACATGTAGACGTTTGCGGTTTTTCGTTTACTGACTCCATAATTGAACGAATCGATACACATATGAAAATTAAATGACGAAGTTCGTTCTATAACGAGGTTTGATCAAAATTATTTCTAGTAACTATAAAAATCCAGTTTTTAACAATATATCGAAATGTAATGCTGAAGTACGCTTTTGATGGATTATCACAAAACTGAGCTGAAATAGCAACAGAGTAAGAGATAAAATAATGAATTTTTCTGAATCTGTAAATTAGCGTAATTCAAAATCTTTTACCTGCACATATGTACGGTGACCTTATTATCGTGTGAGCAAGAGCAATACCACCTGATTGTAAGACCTAAATAAATAGAGTACCTTTGAACTCGTGATAGAACGAATGATAATCAAATGATTCCACCAATCATTCACAAACCTATAGTGACAAGATTTAATAGTATCATTTTTTCAGGGAGGGAGCATGTTAGAAAAGAGAGCAAAAATTATTCAGCTTACCTAAAATATGAGCTACTTAGATTCTAGTTTATATCTAAGCAGTAATAAACTAAAATTGACAGTAAGCATACGTAAAATACATGTTGAATCTTTATATATAATAAATATTATAATTTTTCATTTTGAATGTAACGTACTCTTTTACTTCGGAGTTAGATGACACAGATGAATTGTTAACTTCGTCATCAGAAATCTTTAAAGAATTGATAAAATGACAAGAAAAAGATAAAAATGAAGTGATTAAAAACAGTATTTTCACGGAAAGTATCAGTGATAGTAAACCTGACAGAATGTTTTAATATAGGGTATCAACTTGCTCATAAAATTGCTATGTCAGAACGAAGATTGAAGGAATGGTAGCTCCCAGAATTAATTTCTGGATTATTATCATTATATATATATATTCTTACTATATGATTATTAAGAAACTAGACTACTATATCTATGTACTCCGTTTATCATTACCTTTCGGTTAACCCATAAACTAATGTCATACGACTGACTATTCCTATTTTGTTGCCAGTCTATTATTTACAGTCTTCTCTACTCACAGCCACTTTTAGCCTGTTCATGTATAATTGTTATTTTTTATATTATGGTGTGGTCCCGTTATGTATGTCTGTATATAAACCACGTTTGTTTGAAATACAGATATGGTGGGTGTTGACTTATGGACTCAAGACTGGAGTATAGGGAGGACCTTGTGCATGACGGACCAATACAAACTTAACTGCCGGTTGAATGTTAATGGTGCTGATGGGGCGTGTAATTGGTTAAGTCAGAGACACCAAACCATAGAGTAAATAAAAGGCCAAATTAGAATTACGATTATGATTAGTGATTGGACGTGTGATATAATTTAGCGGGTAAACCACGCATAACATAAATAGATCATAGTAACAGTTGCTGGTGCTAAACTCATGTCAAGAAAATAGAGAAGAAGTACAATACATTGAGAACGATATGCAATGTAAACCATAATTTTTTAAAGATAGAATGAATTAATAATTTATTAGAGTAAATAGTCAGTCACTTATTGAAATAGAGCATAGTAAGGGTTAGCATTGTTCGAATTTGCGAGATCGTATTAGGTTGACGAAACTGAAAAGATGAATTTCAAGAAATAATGTAATAGCAATTGGAATGAGAATGATTGGACACTTGAAAGTTAATACGAAAAGACAGACTAACAGTGTTTAGTGGCCATTTATCTTTTTTTTAACGGTTGATTGAAAAGCTTTCTTTCAGATTTTTCATAGCACTGCCACCTTATTTTTATGGTGCATTTCTTGATCCTCTAGTATTTAAGCTTTTTTTCAGTATGATTATAAATAAGTAGGAAACAGACCTGTTAGTGAAAAAGGTTCATTGTTATGAAACATTATTGGTAGTATATATCGACTATTTGCAGGAAGATAACAAGTGTATTATTTGGGTAGCATCATTGATGAACATGGTGGATCTGATGCATATGTGAAAGCGCGGATCGGTAAAGCAAGAGCAGCATATTTACAACTGAAGAACATCTGGAACTCAAAGCAACTGTTAACCAACACCAAGGTCAGGATTTTCAATACAAATGTCAAGACAGTTCTACTGTATGGGGCGGAAACCTGGAGAACTACGAATGCTGGTCGGCTGCCTATGCTCCATTAGGAGTAACAGGCGTAAGTAAGTAAGTAAGTAACGAGTGTATTAATCAACCAAGGATAACTTACTTGAATTGAGCTTCGGGAAGGTGACCTATGACGTGAATGTGTAATTGTGATAGATCTTCGTAAAACTGGGCTATCAACAGGAGATGTTTTGTGAGAAACCTTGACAACAGGAGAAACAAGTAACTCATGGCATTCACTATCGGAATCACTAATGTTACTTGGTGCGTGTTTGGACTTCACGGCTGCTGATTCGACAGAAAAATCTCCACCTGTATCCCATTCGCCATCGTTCAGTTCATCTGAAACGTGTAGTTCATTCGAAACATTTTATGAGAAAAATAGTTCGCTTTTATTATTATTCAAAAAGCTTTTCTGCAACAAAATAAATATTTCAGCAAAGAAAATTTTCTTTTCAACAATTTCATTTTCAAAACCTGCGTAATTGTATTTATAAAAGGTAATCTATGTGATGAATAAGCACTTTACATTAATATGCCTGCGTATAATGGGTGAGAATCATGATGTTTAGTTCGTATTAATGGGTGAAACCGATTAATTATTGATAAATGAATAATCATACGGACTAGTAACTACAGGACATAAAAGACACAACTACAAAATTAGAGATATGGTATGATTTTTCAAGTAGATTGATGGAGGTCAAAATAAATGAGGACAGGAATTGATTAAAGGTGAGTGATCATATGATAATAGATAGAATGAATAAATTATTGGTGCAATATATTCGGATGTAAAAAAGTAGATTATATAACATGTGACTTAAAAAAACGAGGGTAATAAACAGCAACCAAAATTTTTTATTAAATAGTGTGTAAAGAAGAAATATAGAGCAAACTCAGGCTACAGCATAGAAAGAGATCTCGAAAATAGTTTTCTATACATAAATATAGCTTCTTCTTAAGCATTTCCAATGCTTCTGTAATATGAAGATGTGTGTAGGCGTTTCGGTAGAACCGATTAGATTTTATAAATGATTTTGGACGCTGAGTCTGATACTGCATGATCATCATCAACTACATGCTAGAGAACAGACGATTTCACATACTTTCATATTGTCCTTTACAGAGTCATATTATCAGGTGCCCAGCAATGCGTTGGGAGGTTCTCCTTGATGAAAGACATGTGCACCTAGATCCGCCGGTGAAGATGAATGAAGGAATTCATGTCTAATCGATCAAACGATAGAGCTAGTCCTTTACATATATGTGCACTAATAAGCTGATAGTGTAGACAACTCACATAGGAACTAGATAAAATGTTTTCCATGATGGATTAATCAAACAATTAATCAAGATCTTGTCCGCAATATTATCCTTAAAATCCAGATCAATATGGATATTATCGTTCTGCATGCTTATGACCCCTAGTATTTTTCATGCTTATTTCAATAAACTTTGGAAGATAACCATTATCAATAAAATTAGCTTCAAGTGATCCTCACTCATCAGAAACATGAATACTAACACACAAAACTTGTTCATCACATTAATTATCTGGTATAAATACGGCTGTATAGCTTTTTAAAAATGAATCCACAGAAAAAAATTTCTTTGCTAAATTTTTTATCTATTCCTTAGTGGATTTATAAATTTCCTATAATAGCTTTTCTTCCTGAAACCTAAAAGTGTTAAGACTATGTCGATAGCACTTCAATAACAATTCTTATAGAGACGAATTTCTACTTTAGTTTTAGTTACAATCCTTATAAAAAACATTGTAAGCAGTACGATGACAAGTTTACCAAAGTAAACTAGTGTAGGTTAAAACTAAATTTATCATGAACCGATAAAATATATAACAGAATCTCAATTAATGATTATAGTACAAATATAGGTAATTACACTCTAATACAAAAACAAATCTAAATAAAGAACGTTGATAGGGTATTCCAAAATCTATAACAACTTAGAGAGGAGATCAATTGAGATAGGAATTCATGGACTTAAAAAAACATCGACTGATTGAATTCTTCAATATAAAATACCTAGTTCTGTTTTGAAATATAAATAGAGAGATGTATTACTTTTGTCTTTCAAACATAAATTTAACAAAGTATGTATTTTAATTAACAAAGATAAAATTTAATGAAATAACTTTTGATGCAATATAGTTGGATTTCAGTCAATACGTTTGTGGATACCTTCAGATTTTGTTTTGAAGTTTAAATAGTTGATGTTAATGTAAAAAAACATCAAGTGGTTATATTAGTGCTCTCAATTACAAAATCGAAAACGACTATTAGTCATATCAAATATTGTCAATTAGGTTTTTGTTGAAGTCAACAGGCTATTCTACTAATAATACAGACAAAATTCACTACCGACTTGTGTGATGTCTTTTTATAGCATTTTATTAGGAATTTTGCCTTATTCTATTAATTTTTTGTAAGTAACTATTAGTGGAACATTCTATATTATCTCATGTTGATTGCGACGCATTATCAGTTATAACAAAAACTTTTCTTCCATCCTAAAAATACAGATTATTCTGTAGACAATGTCTGAATAAATTAAATCACTACTTTACACGTATAAATAACGGAAAGGTTACATAAAAATCAGTGTATTTTATGTTAATTTATACAAGTGTCTTTCTTATCAATAATGTTTAAAATTAATTAACATGATAGATACATATTTAGTGATGAAATACCAAGTGATATTCACAGGCACCATATATTACTTTTGAATTGAAATGAAGGGAGTTGGATTGCTTCTAACATAAAAAACAACATTTTCTACTAAGTGTATGGGAGATGGTGATCCAGAATTTACACCTTTCAAGTGTGAGGTAATGTAATAACAATTAAGTTATTTTCTGAATAATGTTAAACATAAAAAAAACAGTACCAAAGTGACAATATTAAAAAAAGGAAACAACTGTATAGGCAGAGCATAATAAGATTTTAATATAAAGGCAAATAATTAATGATCAGAAGAAAGCTTCACATAATGGATAAATTCCTAAAACTCCGAATCCAAGTGTCTAGTGAATTTCTAGGACGTAGAGGGTTATAATAACTGGCAGTACATCTTCATGTTTAGTTCAGCTGTTGTAACAACGAGAGATTTCTTTCATATTGTTTTAAAATATCCATATCATGATTTCTCTGGCAAAACAAATCAATTATCACAAATACTTCTTATACTTCCTGTCTAACAAAACAAGCGAATTGAGTTGTTGAGGATGCACAAAACGGTTAACTATACTGTATAACAAACCCAAACAAAAATGAAAGGATTGAAGTAAGTAAAAATAAAACAGTATATGATGTTTGACAGAACAAGATTCAGGTTTTAACCAGTGGCTCGCAGGTTCAAACCTCACTCCACATTATTTGGTTTGACCTACCAGGCAGTAACACTAGCAGACACATAAAGTACGTGGCTTAAATTAGTAAATCAGTCACAATGTTATGCATCTTAAGAAAAATATCACAAGCTCCTACCAAATTCATCCATTTTTCTGAAGACCTGAACAGTAATCGGTTTGTTGGCCAAAACTAAACGAGCCATCAAGTTTTCTAGATCCTCTAAGTTTGTAACTTGACTGGTGTTTTTGTCAGTGTTCTTCCGACTAGTACCCAGGTTTATGCCATCAATAGAAGCCAATATGTCACCTTTTTGAAATTCACAGATATCTGCCGAACTACCTAGATGTTGCATGTTAATGAAACAAATGTAAACGAATAGAGAATGTTTAAGAAATGTTAAATAGAATGGATTGATTTATCAACGAGCTACAATAAGCTCACTTACCTGAGTATTATGCAAAAAATGTATGGTTTTAGTTATTTGGTTTCTCAGATTTCATTTCTAATGGAAATTCTCGAAGAACTCATCCTCAAAACTAAGATATAGATCAAATAACAAACAAACCGTAACTAGACCACGTATAAAAACCTGGAAGCATTGAAAAGCCGTCCTGCTCGCCGACCCTTAACCTCTAGACTACTGGACCGGTATCAGATGTCAATAGTGCCTAAAATGACACGGCCGTCCAGTGCTTCAAGGTCTTCAGTGCCATTTAGATAAGATCGGTTTATAATTTGATCTAGGAAAATTCTGCAATTTCCATTACCCCCCTAACACTAATAAAATACGGATATTTCTCTTTATCGCATGATAACATAACGTAGTCTCTTGATACACACAGTAAAATAGTAAAACTCAGGAACATAATGAAATATTATAGTTGTACACAAAGTTTGGAATATTGTGTGTTAATGACCACAAAGATGAGGGGGAATACGTCATGAAACGCTGAAGGAACCCTACAGTAAATTAGTTTTTCAGAAGATTCTTGTACAATAAGTCCAGAATTTGGTGAAATTTTATTCCAAAATGTTAACTTGGAAATATTTAGAAGTTAGTGCTAATCCTGACACATTTTAGATGAAAAAAATGACCACCCAGTTAAGTAAGGGTGGTAAATTTCAATATTTAAATACGTGCATTGAAATCAATCTTACGAGACAATTAGATTTTTACTGAAAAGAAAGAACTTAGTAAATGGTAAAAATGTAACATCCATATCATGAAAAGTTTAACGCTTTCTGAAGTAAAAACAACGGACAATAGACTTTTAATGATACGACAACAGTTATTTTGCAGTTAACTCCCTACCGAGATTGTCACAGAGATCCATGTGATATGTCACAATTAGTTTGCTTCGGTTAAATCCACCTTTAAAACCCGACTGTGCAATTTAAGTTTGCGAAACTCCTTTCGACAGCTTTATATACTTGAAAATATTATAATGATGACTAAAAAACAGGTTGAAAAAGTAAAGTCGTGTGATCATTGCAAGCAAAATATGTCACCAGGTAGACTGGGGAACAGAAAATTGATCGGAAACTACGGAGAAAGCTATCTAGTGTAATTTGGATATCATGATACAAGACGTCAGCAAAAAGACAAAAGTAATGTCTGAACTAGCAAACAAACACATCAAAGTTACCAAACTTTTTCAACAGCACTAAAGCAGAAAATTAATACACAGGGATATATTGCGAAAAATCTGTACTCAAGACTCAAGATAAAGAAAGCCCATTAATTCAGTCTCGTAGATAAGTAAATTAATCAACACACTCACTCAATTCATTTTATATTTGTAGACTATAGTTTGGTTAAGCTATGGATCATATTACGAATGATGTGAAAGTCAACCTATGTGTGTTTGAATTTCTGTTACTAGAACCACTACTCTGTAATTTACCTTGACAATTTCAGATTGCTACGTCAGTGAGGAATGACAACCTGAACCGATGTATACATGTGCCAGGTTCCACGTTGCGTATTACTGACTAACTCAGTCAAAGGATATAGAAGGTACTATATTTTTCTAGTTCTTGCTCAACATTTGCGCGTCGCAGTTAACTACTGTGACATAATCCAAGAGATGAAGTTACAAATATAGTTGGACGAGAATTCTGTGTTCCACTGTTAATCTATGTCACTTATTTACTAAAAGTAAGTTGCAAATATTGAGGGTTTAGGCCATTTTTATGTATGAGAACTACGATTAATAGAAAACTAGTTAAACGAAAGTAGATATGGGGCATTTCAAATCAGAAACTGTTACTAAAAATCTATCCCACCAATAACCAATTTATTGTATCCACTCAATTACTAGTCGCCACCAAATAATAAGAATTAAAATTTTTTGAGTAAAATAAAAAGATTGAAAATTATTACGATCGACTGTTCGTGCAGTCCAGAGGAACAATTTTACAGTAAAGATAGGCAAATAAATTACCTTGGGTGAAGGAATCATCGATAGGTATCGCTTATGACGAATGTAAGTGGGAAACAGTGTGATAAACTTTGTATACAGACAATAGGAGAATAAGATAAGTGAAATTAGTTGCTGTATAAATTATTCGCTGAATTTCTTCCTCAATCCTATACTATTTCAAACGTAAAAATGAATGGGAAGAGAAAATGTCTGTAATACACGAAAACATGTGATATATAGAAACCTACCAATTTTAACGCGTTCAACAACAAAAGGGGAAGTATTTGAAGGACCTCGTGCTTTTATTGTTAGTCCCCAATGAACCTCTGATACTCCAGGTCTTGATGACAAACGTAATTTGCATTCTGAATAGTCATTATTTTCAAGACTCGCATCAAAAGGCAGTTTGGTTTCCGGGGTGACTTCAACGTTGCAATTATTTGGTTTAGACATGAGATCACGAATTACTTCAATTCGATTATATTTGGCATATTTTTCGACAGAATTTTTGTTTGGCGAAGAAATATCCATTATTTTGTCCGTAATATTACTCTACAAACATAAAAATATGAAAGTTATTGATTATCTTAAGCGTTATTTTACTTCTCATTGGTAAATTATCATCCGTAAGAAATTTCAATATGTTTACATTGTTTCAAATATTTCGATAAACTATCGAACTTGCCAGTTTTTCCATTAAAAGGAGACGGAAATTTTCGAGGCAGATTAAAGATGAGAAAAAGCTGACTATACTTTCAAAACTGGAACTCTAAACGTCTGCGTGCATATATGATAGCTTTTAACGTACGGAGCTGAAATCTGTTTTCGCATAGACCTTATGAATGATTTTTGAGATATATTCAACTACAGAAGAGAAAAATCGTCTACCAATATGATTTATAAAAGTTTGGACATTTCACTAGTTTTAAAATTATTCAGGTATTCGTCACGGTATTAGTGAACTAATATATCAATTATTTCATCCAATATACTTACAAACACAAACACGTTTGACTGGAAAACATGACACGATAATGTAATCCTTTATATGTTGTATCGAAGAACAGATTTCGTAATGTTATCCAAGTCAGTGTTTTTAGTATAATACGTTTCGCTAAAGGCCGATTTAAAGCTATTTCCAAAATTAGGTTATTCGATTTAACTTGAATAGACTCTTTCTTTTCTGAAATTCAAATAATCATAAGTGATAAACAACCATCATTATCCACAATCATAGAAATAATCAGCAAAGAGTTCAGAAATCATTGAGTAGGAACAGTCGGTGAAGCATGCTTCAACTTGTTGAGAAACCAACGAGATGGATGTCTAACCCCCTTTACCTGTTTAAAAAACTTTGGTCCTGTAATTTCATTTAAATATTGTTGATCTTTCTCATTACCTGTTCTTCCTCTTATTTTTTAGTATTAAAATTAATTGATATAATTCTATTTCATTTTCAGACAAAAAACATCGATGAGTAAATACAACATCAAATTATTCGAAAGGTACTGAGTACGTATATCGCATGGTTTTAGTTAAACTTCATCTTCCATTAGACTTTCAAAATGTAGTGATGTAATCGATTGACTTCAACTATTTTTACTTTCAAATTAAGCTAAGGTGCTTGCAATTTTTTAAACATTCATAACACTTCTCAACTGAGATAAGAATGGAACAAAGTAAAATTGTTGTGACTTCAAACGGCCTAACGGGAAAATATGTCACTAATTTTCTATCTTATGTATATCAGACTGGAATGTCAACGGACTATCCCAGTTGGACTATGAGACCGATCTTTATGAATGCTCACAACAACCACATATTAAAACGCCTAGAGAGGAAAAAACATAAAGGGAATAAAAAACCGACTCTTAAAAAACTTACCTGAACTTCAGTTTTCAGTTCAGACACAGGTGAAGAACAATCGGAGTACGCCTTCAAATTAGTCTCGGAGTCATTTGACTTATAAAGATCTGAACTATCTGTGTACTGAAATTTATTTGAAGAAACCGATTGTGATGGTGAGACTGTATCCATTTGATTTTTTTCAAAATGACCGAAAGTGAGCGGATCAAAATCGCTACCCGTTAGTAATGCGACGCCAGGACTATTTATTTTTGGTGGTGGAGCTAAATCTAAGGAAGAAACATGTCCACTGGAAATTAGATTACGTTGGCTTCTAGGATTGCAAGAAAAATAATGAAAATAGTCAGTTGCAAGGCGTCAACTACTAAATGCATATCATATTCAACATTTGATAACTACAGTAGTGTGAAGAATTGAAGTGAAACGGTCTGGATTATTGACCACATGATTAAAAAGACAGGAAAAAATCTGAAGAGGTATGACACTATCGATAATGAATATTCTATTAAAGCATACTCTTGGTCTAAAATCATTCGTACGATGAGGCGAAACCTAACAAACACAGTCTCCTTCACATACACATGTGACAAAAAATCCAAGAACACAAAAGGAATAGAGGTACTTAACCCTGGCAGATGACAATTACACTGACTGGACAAAAGAAAGTGGCTTAATATGTTTTTCAACTACGATTATAATTCCAAATCTTATAAATCAATAACTGTATTCTACTAACTTATAGCTTTGAATGAACACATAGTTTTACATTATTTTCAAATATCTTCTTAACTATAACAAGTTGCTAATTTATTCTTTTTACCGTATCCGAGAAACCTTGTAAATTATAAACTTGTAATAAACGCTCATGAGAACACTAGGGTGGGTTATTATTACCATTATTATTGTTATTATCATTATTATTATTATCAGCTTTGTTCAATATTATATTTTCGGTACAATATAGAATTCTCAGCGTAAAGTATTTCAACAAGTTTCCGTTTCTTTCTTCTTGGTCGGTCCTGGCGATAAATATTGAGTGATCGCCAGTTAGATGTTAGCAGTTCAGTAAATGAACATCTGACTAATGTGCATTCTTTTCGTTGTATATTGCCAGCAGCCACATTTTCTCTTGAGTTTTTTGTAACTTTGACAACGAAAGGTTGTACACTTTTCAGAAACGCAGCAGGATAGGTTATGCGATTAATAAACATAGTGATATATTTAAACAAGCAAAAATAGATAACTTGTTGAAATATCTAGATGGCAGGAACAGGTAGTCCAGATGATCAAACAGGCTGCCGGAGATCAGTCTTGGTACAGATATTTCCATGAACTATTTAATGCCCTATTATGTTCAATCGTTTGGATAAGAAAATATTTTAAGGAAATGTTGAACATCTACACATTTCACCTACTTGGCTTTACGAAGGCGATCTTTTACTTCTTCCTTACGTCTTTCGTTCTCCCTACTCTCACGCTCTTGAAGTAAGGCAAATTTTGTTGCCTCAGTGAGTAAGGCTTGACGACGTTTTTCACGCCAAACATCCAACTTCTAAAAGTAAACATAGAGTACATAATTGGAAAAAAACCGAATAAATCCGATGTTTGTTTATTGATATGATTTATAATCGGTTATAAGACTTACAGTCGACTAGAAATCCTATCAATTAAGAAAATTAATAAACCTAAGAAATTTCATGACAAAAGGGATTGGGCAATTAGAACCAAATCTATAATATTAAAAATCTGGACAGTATAGCGAAAGTTATAACATTTAGTTAAATAGATATCCGAATGATAAGAGATACTTTTCAAAGACACAAATATCTACCATGCATAACGCAACTAATGGATAATAATGATAAGAGCAAAATGTTTACTGTTAGTATTCTGTTTTCAAACAGCAGTTAAAAAGTTTGGCAGCAGCGTTTCTCTTAAGAAATCAATTTACGTAATTGCTGTTGAGCTACCTGATGAATACAGTTACTTGGCCCATCATCATTTTAGGTTTAGATTACCATTTTATAAGAGACTGTCAAACCCTGTTACATATTTTGATAAGTGAATGTTCCATAAATTTCTACTTGACTGCTGAATTACATCACTAATGTACACTTAGTTAACTGACCGTGACCGGGCGTATGCTCATTATCAAGCCAAGTATCAACTTAACAGTATATTGGTGACTATATGAAAACATAAGGCGTCATAAAACTATGACAACTGACGATCATATTCACTTAGGATAATAAGGAGCTGACAAATAACTTTAGTTGACTGGCTTTGATAACGAAAATGATGGGGTCGACCATGAGAAAAATATATCTCAACTTTGTTCAGTTAAAAAATGTGATTCACCTAAAATGAAACTAAGTGATTAGGAAAAAATATCGAAGTACATTTGTGATATCGACTAGTTATCAATGCTGAAATGTCTGACATATGCCACAGAACAGTGTTTCAAAATACAAAAAGTATGACTGTTAAAAGGAATACATCAGTCGTCATGTAAATATCTGGGAAAAATTAAAGCTGAAGTATCTAGATGTTGAATAACATACGGGAAACCAGACCCCATACTTTGATGACGAATTGAGAAAAGAATAGAAAAAGATATACACGATATTCTAAATCTATGTCGTATACATGAGGCTATACGATCTAAGTTATTATATAGTTACAACTTAAAATAATCTTGTTGAGACTAAGGATGCTGGTAGTGAACCATGAACTTAAAGTGAACGTCAAGTATCTTGGTGTATAAGTCGACTTTGAAGAAATGTCAACAAGTGAAAGTATTTGGATGTATTTCCTTCTGCAGACAACCTTAACCTTCTAAATCAATTGTCCTCATTTACTATTTTTAAATATTTCAGGACGAAAATTTCATATTACGCAAAGGATGAGGTAAGAAAAAAACACTGGAAAGAAGATTACTGAACACCCTTACCGACTGCCATTCTTCTTCCTCTTCAAAACAATTATTATTTCCCTGTAGGTATTCCACACCAGGTGCTGATTGCTGTCGATCGGTAATTTTGAAGTGAGGCTTTTCCCCAAAATTGGGTGATGACGAATGAGAGATACTCATTGTTCAGTAGTTTGGGAATCTTGAAAAATAACATAAGACAAAGCTCCACAATCATATTAGATCACGAGTGTGTGGCATATTCATTTTGTGAGATCTAATGAGATTGCTAAGTTGTGCAAAATGAAGTATGCTGAAAAATACTTTAAATTAAATAAGTCTTCAGTTAGATGAACTATTATCATTAGGCTGATAAAGTGACCATGTTTGATACATTTATCTAACGCATTAATTTTATGAACCTACAGGAACTGACAGGTGATTTGAACTGGCATCCGTTGGTACATCGTAATTCTCTGATTCGGGTGGTAAGTATTATGGCACTTCATAACCTGTAGATTCTGCTTATTTTGTTTGTTTTATTAATAACATAAAAACTTTAAAATGCGAAACTTTCGGTGTTAATATCTGTTTCACTGTCATTACATATCAGCATCCCACACTAGATATAGTATTCTGGTATTTTAAAAATGTGGATGAAACTAAACAACTTAAAGCAATATAAGCAGCACAATTACATTCTTCTCCATTTTGTCTGGTGCTTTACTTTCTGAATCGAATCGAACAAACGGAACCACCAGTTGTGCATCATTTTAATACAGTAAAAATTAGGAAAAGAATTGGTTGCATCGGTAACGAAAAAGTAATTAACGATTCAAAAATGGTATTGATTACAAAAAATGACACCTGTGATCTGTTCCTTGATTCTGTTTCACAGCATACTGATCATTGACATAAGCAAGTATATGAGAGTCAGTCAGCTACAACGTAGGACCAGGCACATATATGCATGGGTCCAAATTGTCACACAGCACAACAAGGTGAACACTGGATTTATACATGTATGAGAGATGGCATATGAAGATCTAGTGAAAAAAACTCGATAATATTATGTATTACATATCTAACAAAATAAAATTTTAGGTGCTGAGACTTCGTAAAAATTCATTGAGATTCAACCGTACTTAACCTGATATCTACCAATGAATTCCCACATCACTGTGTGAAAATGTAATCACTTTTAAGCAATAATGTCAGTTTATACACTCTTACTTCATTTTTTTTGGTAAAATACTTTTCGAAAATAAATGTTGGAAGTTAATGGAATAAGTAAGATGGGTTGAAAGTGATGCATACAGAGGTTATTATTTCAAACGGGGAATAAGAATTTACTCCATATACTTTAATAATAGTGAGAACTAAATAAATCTACAGAATTTTAGGCCCTAAGTATCCCAATTAAAATATAAAGATAACGCTTAGGAAATAAGTATAGGAAGAAGCTTACCTTACGTGAAATGAAGCTGCTAAATCCTCACTATCATTACCAATGAGCTTTGATTCCGGCAAACAAAGTTCATTTACATAGAGAGGAACTGCTTGAAACTGTCCTATACAAATAAGAGTATTCTACAATAACAAGAATTGTGAAATAAAACGGTACAGAATAATGCTTTGGACAAACATCAAACCAGAAAAAGAAATACATGCATTGACTCATACCTTTTAGGCTTTGTACTTATAAGTTCAGTAATAGCACCTTGTACGGTCTCAATACATTCATTTGAGCCTGAAGTTAACATATAATTAATACTAAAGGTATCTATTCCACTAATTCTTATCTTTAAAAATAACAACAACACTAATCCTCTTTCCGTCTTGCCCGTGACTTGTGGTATCCGTTACTCCACTGCACTGAAATAACAATATTGAAGTATTCTGGAGCCATAGAAACAGATGCATACTTTGAAAGGATGGTGACTACGCAGTCATAATAAAATCCAAGATGGTCGATTTACACTTTCAAAAGCATTTATGATAAATCCAAGTGGTGAGTGAAATAACACAACTGTATATAGTTACGCAGCTCCAAGAAATTATTGAATACGGAGTCATATGCATGACAAACTACAGCTATGGATGATAAACCCGACATATATTATGTCATAAACGTAGAGTTATTGTTATCTGTGAATGTTTATACCACAACTGCTTATAATGAAGAATTGCAAAATTAACTAAGAAGTTGTAGAGGTAGTATACTACTGTAACTACACGCTTATATGTAGTACTGAGGTAGCCAACTAATAATAACTATTGGTGAAACTTGCGTCTTTGCTTTCTATTGCTTACGAGTCACTTGATTTTGAAGTCTTGATTCTTCAGAGTAGAAAGCCGTCGCATTATATCGAGAATTGCTACTGTACACACTTGAGTAAAGCCAGAAAAGTCAGAGAACAGATGTTGTGATTGTCAAGGTAAAACTACACACAAATAATGGTTTCCACAACTGTGAATAATTAAAAGTAGCTAATTTACAAGTCCACAGAGGTTAATTAGAAAGATAATCGAAAAAATAAGTCTACTCTAAATTAGGGTGTATCACCAATCTAAATTGCTTTATTGTCATTGAAATCATAAATCGATCTAAGTCAAACCACCATTGACAGTCTGGAAGGATTAGATTGCCATTTTGTACTAACATGGTGCTTGTGGATGCGCAGTGTTGAGTCCCACACCATTACGATACGACTGTTCAGTGCTTGCAGGCTTTCAGTGATGGTCCAACTTAGATTGGTTCGCGATTTAAACAACCTCCGCAACTCACTGACAATTACCACATGTTCACTAGAGACCAGCTTCGAGAAGGAATTTACGGAGTTCTAGTGAAAAGCCGTTACTGGTGGAGCTAATCTACATCGGATATGAGATGGATACGTACCGAAGACAATGCAATACGGTAACACAATGTCGTGGATTGAGTGAAGTTACATCTCAACACCATTAGACGCCGACTCAGTGGTCTAGAGGTTAAGCGTTTGTGAGAGACTGGAGGTCCTCGGTTCGATTGCCATGTGCAGGATCGTCGGTGACCACTGTCAAAGAGTCCCGTGAAAGAGCAAAACGGACATCCAGTGCTTTTAGGCTTTCAATGGTGGTCTAACCTACATCACCTCGTGATTTCAACGAAATGATACAATTGATGTCGCCTTAATTACATTTATAAATGGGAAAAGTTGTATAGAATGGCACTTTTTCGTACATGTTTTTTAGAATATGGCCTCTCTGAAGTAGAGTCTAATAGCTTTCGGTATTTTTTCAACGTCATCTTAAGAAATTCGACGTAAGCCACCGTCAACACGATGTGGGTAATATCGAGAACAACAAGTGGGTATTTAACCACGAAGACGGTTATTTAATCTATAATTAACTTGTGAACGTCACCTTTAGTCAGAGCTTAGCCATAATATCTCAGTAGGGCGATTTACTGCTATTCAGTTGTATATTCGTAGGTGCTATTGATTTATGACATCGTGATAAGGAGTGTAATGAATTTGACAATGTCGACATTGTCAGTAAGGTTGATAGAATCTCTACAGCCTACCACTGATGTACGCAATTTAATAGCAAACAAAAATGGCCGAATTGTGATATGAAAAAGCTCGGTAACACCATAATACACGAGCCTACAACAAGAAACCTATTACTAACGGCATTTACACTTTACAAGACAAAGGAACACACAGATAAGTAATCAAAAACGGGGGATAAAATAATGAAAAAATTAAAGCAGGCTAGCGATTTATTTTTGAAATAAACTGGATGGTTTATTTTCTCGGCATAATACACATCGACAGGGAACTTACAATGATACCAAGAACTGTTTTATGTGAAACGATAACCGGAATAGAGAGTTTTAATAACAAGTGAACAAAATATCTTGTTTTATGACAAATATCACAGGACCACTAGTACATGTCATAAGAATGATCCGAGAAAGCTACGATAATTCACAACATCCTTGACACTTGACAAGAGCGCCATATGATTAACCGCGTCGATTTATTAAATGTAAAAGTTTAATAAGCCGGATGTAAATGAAATAAGCAGTCTGTTTTCGAATGACCTACTACCTAACAACCTTGGTCTGAAAAGGTCTCACAAAAGGTCAACAAACACTTCCAAACGAGGACGTGGATCTTTGATCACTTCACGTAAATGCCCTATCAATACTTAGGTCGCCATAACTGGGAGCCAAATTATTTTTGTAAAAGGTGGTTGGCCCTAGACGAAAACGACCAAATGCAAGAGCAAATTTTCTGGGCCAAGAAGGTAAAACACGAATACAAGAATATTGAGGGTTCTGACACAAATAATTGTAAATAACTATTTTGTAACTTCGGTCAGCTGTAATCAGACCATTGCAAAACTCCACTTGAAAATCTCTCTACTTGCAGAAAATTTTCAAAGCACTTTGGAGAAGAAAATGCAAAATTGAGTGTTGTGTTGGAAAGTACCCTGTATTCGACAGAATCAAACTACATCGGTAAACAAAGGCTACTAAACAAAATAATCCAGTGACAGATAAGTAGGACGAAAATGGAGGCTAGTTATGCACTTAGCTAAGCTCATTCCACCTCCACAAACCAGAAATCTTCAAACGACTCTGTTTTTGGATCTTTTCTTTAGTTGTCGCCAAGTTTTGATGTATGCCTCCATCTGGCAATGGCGTGTTTTTCTTAGTTTACCACTTTTCCCATTACCTTGAGAACATCGAGTTGTCGACTTTCTCTGTGACGTAATTTCCTGATTTTCGCAAATTGTATTTTGTCCACCTCCAACGTCGTTTTCAGAATTCCTTCCCAACTAGGAGTTGGTTTGTTATTCTTTGCGCCAGGTTTTTGTTGATTGTCTCGAGCCAACGGATCTCGGATAGTTTGCTCAGACAACTTGTACCTGTTGGTGATGATTTTGATACTACTGTAGATTTCCGTTCCGCGCAAGTGAGCTGGTCCGACGTTTGTATTGAGTATTGTGACTACGTTCTGAAGTGACAGTTCTTAGTTCTAAATGGAATGTCTTACTTCGTTTGTTATTCCATAACTTAACAATAACTTCAGAACGTCACTGTTTACTAACGGTTTCGACAAGTTGTTTAAACGATCCACTGTGAAATTTCGCTGCCTGTTGCCGTGATGTACTTTAGGATTTTGTTTGTCCCTTTAATGCGGTAATGTCTGTTTACACAGAAATTGCTGCCACACTAACCGTCCTGTTCTGCACTTCCTATTATGTATGAGATAGATGGGCTTGATAACCTGTGGCGGAAATCGTCCAGGTGGGTCTCAGGTTTACTCTATATTCAGTGCTCTTCCTGATATATGAATGTCCGCCTAGCACATTCAACTACCAGAAGAAACAGGAAAGGGAAGAGTAGGTAGCCTTGTGTGTAAGCACTGATATGCACAGTAGGTTCTCGAGCTGCCGTTAACTCTTAGCTCAGTCGCGTGTGGTACTTCTTTACGATGATGGTCTTATAAGCTACTCCGTAGTTTCAAGAACATTCCACAGGATTCTTCCATTTATACAGTTGAACGCCTTCATATAATCAAGAAAGCTGTTGTTTAGTGATGAGCTGCGTTCGACAGATTGCCAAAAATTCACTACAGTGCCAATATTTTGTTGGTATGTGATCTGTGCTTATGAAAACCTCATTGTCGATTGCGAGTATTGGCGTACACTAAATCTTTCATTTGGTTGAATGACATTGTTGGAAAAAATTGGATAGTACAGAGAACAGTGTAATGACTCTGTATTTCCCACACCTACTTAGATCTGCACTTCCCGTATTTTGACGAGGCAGTCGGAAAATAACCCCATACATTTTAACAGGTACATTGGTATCCAACTTCAGTGCCTCATCTGACTTGTTGTCTGGTCTTTTTATATTGACAATCCTGATTTATCCGATGGTCTTGCCACTTTCTTCCACTGTATATTATATGTATTCTTTTTAAGGAGTTTGTGTGCAGATTCGATGCTGTGTTCAACGACATTTGTAAAAGTAATAGCCCTTCAGAGTGCACAGATTTTCCACCTTATTTAAACATCTGTAATTAATCACCTTTCGTTGTTTTCGTCTTATCACTCTCGCTTGCTACCTTTCCCTCCTAGCTTCTTGGTTATATGACACATTTCTCTATTGGTTGTTTCTCGCATTTTCCGATGTAGCTGCCCGGCCTTATATATATTCCCTTTCTTGAGCCTGTTTTTTCGCTTCTGTATATTTGGTCTGGGAATTTAATTGTCCTCGTTTTTAAAATTTTACGAAGAGCAACAACAGAGAATCATTATTTATGCTGATACCTCTCATGGAACGGCACCCCCAGTTATGCTGACCCATTTCTTCTAGTGCATCTTGTAAAGCTTAGAGATGATTGCAGAGAGCTGTTTTGAACTCTATAGGTTTGTTAGCATCTCAAACGGAAGTTGTATAAAACCTTTGTAGTGCCACTTGTCCAGTTGTCCAATACTTTCATGTCTTCAGCTTTTCTTCCATCACTTAGTAGTCAGAAACTTTACTAGCTTCTTTATTTGCTCCTTTCCCTCCACGAATCTCCCAAAGTTGTTTATTGATACAGATGTGACTGATCTGCTTCATCACGGTGTAGCCTGATGAAACACGTTTTATGATTTTCGAAATGGGGGGATGATGTTACCTATAGCTATATTTCTGAAAGAATGTAAATTTGCCAGCTTCACATCATTTTTGTTTCTTTCCCCTAATCCATGTGGTCCCATGATGTCTATGTACAAGATATTTTCCATTTCGGCATCAGAATGGTCGGTTGCTTTCCTTAGTATTGCTCGAGGAAAAGTGGTCTCCGTGATCTCCTCGTCCTTCATTGGTACGAAGGTCGCGTCGGTCATATATACAATGATATGTTTACATGCATGATCTGTAATTTACAATGTTTGTTTGCACACAGTACGTTTCTCGAATAGGGTTGTTAAAATAAATGGAATCAACAAAAATAAAAGACACTACATTCGTGCAGATGTCCCAGGGATCTAATGACTGGGTTTAAGTTTTAGTATTGCACTATGATTGCAATTTTTACAATCCTTTTCAAAAATAGCATCGTGTCCACGTTGCACACCAGGTCCAAAATCGGTCGCACTGTGTTAGAATTCTGAATGTGCTAAGTATTTCCACGATACAACTTTTAAGTTTGTAGTTGTTACAATGCACATTTAAGGAGCGCTTGTCGTGAGCTGTGACCTTGACGAAAGCAAACGATAAGCTTGTTTCAGGGGGGAGAAGCTCCATAGCTGTGCACTGATGTAAACCCCAAGCAATGCTTAAGGGTTTATAGTGTAACAGACAGAGGTTTGATAAACTAGGAGACAAGACTTATGCTACCTGTTGTTGCTAGAATATAATGCAGTTAGGGCCTTCATATAAAAAGATAGATTAACAAAGAACAATTAGTTGCGATATGTAATGAAATAGAATGGGTTCAAGTGATGGGAGGGAAGTCGTAGTTAGAATGATGAAGGCTATTTATTTGGATAGGAAATGCACCAAAAGTAAGTAAAGTGTTAAGAAACGCTAATGAGTATATAATTTATTGTGTGTTTCAAAAGTCTGGGTTAGCATGTCACAGGTTAAATTAGTGGAATAGCGAATTCAACATAAAATTGGAAACATGAGTCTGAGTAGCAAACGTAGGAGAACAACTTCACTATCGCCGATTAATTGCCTCATCCTCAATCATAAAGAGCCCAAACCAAACAAAATGTTCCGCCCCAAATTGACATCGACTGTAATTTGCTTTTGTCTTGGTTCTGAAGAGTGATTTAATGATCAATTATTCACAGGTTTTTAACCTTCGAACACATCACGCTTTTTCTAAGACCATCAATGGTTTCATATGTGTAGGGCATTTACTTCTTCACAATCGTAATACAGTTCAGCCACTTTCAAAACCTGTCCTTTCTGTACAGCTTGTATACAATGGGTTTCAATTATTCTAAAAAGCGAAATAAAGGAATTTTTCGTTCTCGTAGCTGCCTGTATGGTCTTTCCCTTCTTCCACACTACTCGGAAATTTTATGTACCTATATGACTTGTTATTCTTACCGATAAATGGGGTATGTATTTGGTGAACTCCAAGGAATCTTGGCCTTCGCCTTGAGTTATCATAACTATCCTCAACGGAAAAATAATAGAAGTGTTCGTTTTTACAGGACGAGCTTGATAACCCTCTACCCAACCCTCCCCATTTACTCGGGACTAAGACCGAGGGTAACTCTGCCTGTAGCTCTTCTAGAGTTACGGCCAGTCTCAAGCACGAGTAAAGGAGGCGGGTTGGGCATGGGGTTGACAACCCCATCCCGTAGAAAACCAACTTTTTTAAAAAACGCTAACCAGAAAACGTGTTCAAACCACTTAAACTCTGCCCTGAAATTTAGAAGGTCATCATTTAGAAGAACTATGGCGCCTCATGGTGAAAGCCAAGTTCCTTCGGAAGCCATGAGGCCAGTGCCCCTTCCAACAACCAGAGCAACAGCTTTTATGGGTACATGGAAGGTCTGGACAATGCACGAGACTGGGAAGACCAGTCAAATATAAACGGAAATGAGGAGATACAACTTGGCAGTACTGAGAATCAGAGAAACCTATTGAGACCCAAGCTGGATAACAAAGGTTAAATACAGGAGATGCTGCTATACTCCGGCCACGAAGAGGAAAATGCTCCACACACTCAGAAAGTTGCTCTAATGCTTTCCAAAGTAGCACGGAATGCCCTTGTAGGATGGGAATCTCACGGATCCAAAATCATCAAAGTATCATTCGAAATAAAGAAGGAGGGGATCAAAATGAATATTATCCAATATTATGCACCCACCAATGGTAGCAACGACGATATTAAAGATCAATTCTACGAGCGGCTGCAGTCAATCATAGAGAAGTGCCCAAGAAAGGACCTCACCATTCTGATGGGAGATCTAAATGCCCAAGTCGGAATAGACAACACCGGATATGAAGATATCATGGGACGACATGGACTGGGAGAGAGAAACGAAAATGGAGAAAGATTTGCAAATCTGTGTGCATTCAACAAATTGGTCATAGGATGCATAATATTTCCACACAAACGTATACACAAAGCTACATGGATCTCATCGGATCACACTACAGAGAACCAAATAGATCATATCTGCATCAATAAAAAACCCCGAAGGACAATGGAAGATGTGAGAACCAGGAGAGAAGCTGACATAGCTTCAGATCACCACCTAGTTGCGGCCAATTTAAAACTGAAGCTAAAGAACTGGACAAACTGCATTACAAAGGTCCAATACAGCCTTCCTTCGAGACACTAACAAAATCAACGAATTCAGGACAGCTCTCAACAACAGGTTCCAAGCCTTACAGGATCTACTGAAGGAAGAAGAAACTACTATGGATGACAACTGGAAAGGCATCAAATAAGCATTAAATTCAACGTGTCAAGAGGTTCTGAGCCTCAAGAAGCATCATCATAAGGAATGGATCTCTATAGAATCACTGGACAAGATCAAAGAAAGGAAGAACAAGAAGACAGCAATTAACAACAGCCTAACACGAACAGAGAAAGTCCGAGCACAAGCTGAATACACAGAAGCAAACAAGCAAGTGAAGAGGAGCACTATAGCCGACAAGAAGAAATACGTGGGAGAACTAGCAAAGACGACGGAAAAAGCTGCAAGAGAAGGAAGTATGAAACAACTTTACGATACAACGAAGAAACTAGCAGGGAAATACAGTAAACCAGAGAGACTGGTCAAGGACAAAGAAGGCAGGCTAATCACTGAAATTCAACAACAGCGGAACAAATGGGTAAAGTACTTTGAGGAGCTCCTGAATGGGCCAGCTCCAATGAATCCCCCGGACATCGAAGCACCGCACACAAATCTTCCTATAGACGTCGATTCACCAACGACGGAAGAAATCAGAATGGCTATCAGACAAATCAAGAACGGGAAAGCAGCAGGACCCGACAATATACCAGCTGAAGCACTGAAGTCAGACATCGAAGTAGCTACAAACATGCTTTACCTTCCATTCAAAAAGATTTCGGAGGAGGAACAAGTGCCGATGGACTGGAAAGAAGGACACCTCATCAAGATTCCAAAAGGAAACCTGAGCAAATGTGAAAACTACAGAGGAATCACACTACTGTCAGTACCAGGAAAAGTCTTTAACAGAGTTTTGCTGAAACGGATGAAAGATGCAGTAGACGCCCAACTTCGAGATCAACAAGCTGGATTCCGTAAGGATCGGTCGTGCACAGACCAAATTGCAACACTACGGATCATCGTCGAACAATCAATTGAGTGGAACTCGTCACTGTACATCAACTTCATTGATTATGAAAAGGCATTCGACAGTGTGGATAGGAGAACGTTATGGAAACTCCTTCGACACTATGGAGTTCCTGAGATTGTTAACATCATTTGGGACTAGTACGACGGACTACAGTGCAAGGTCGTGCATGGAGGACAGCTAACAAATGCATTCCAAGTAAGAACCGGAGTCAGACAAGGCTGTTTACTCTCTCCCTTCCTCTTTCTTCTGGTAGTCGACTGGATTATGAAGACCTCGATATCTGGGGGAAAACACGGAATACAATGGACAGCTCAGAACCAGTTAGACGATTTGGACTTTGAAGATGACCTAGGCCTCCTATCGCATACACACGAACAAATGCAGATAAAGACAGCCAGTGTAGCAGCAGTCTCTGCATCAGTAGGCCTCAACATACACAAAGGAAAAACCAAGGTCCTCAAATTCAACACGGACAACAGCAATCCAATCACTCTTGATGGAGAAACTCTGGAAGATGTAGAATCCCTCACATACCTGGTAAGCATCATCGATGAAGAAGGAGGCTCAGATGCAGACGTAAAGGCAAGGATTGGCAAAGCAAGGGTCGCATTCCTACAATTGAAGAATATATGTAACTCAAAACAAATTTCAACCAATATCAAAGTGAGAATCTTCAATACGAATGTCAAGGCAGTTCTACTGTACGGAGCTGAAACTTGGAGAACTACAACAACCATCATCAAGAAGGTGCAAGTGTTTATAAATAGCTGTCTACCCAAGATACTCAACATCCATTGACCGGATACCATCAGCAACAGCCTTCTGTGGGAGAGAACAAACCAGCTTCCAGCTGAAGAGGTAATTAGGAAAAGACGATGGAAATGGATAGAACATACATTACGGAATTCATCAAACTGCATCACGAGACAATCCCTAACTTGGAATCCTGAAGGAAGGTGGAACAGAGGAAGGCCAAATAACAGAGTAAGCCGGGAAATAGAATCAGATATAAAAAGGATGAATAAGAACTGGAAAGAGTTGGAACTTATCGGCTAAGACAGGGTTGGATGGGGAATGCTGGTGTGGGGCCTATGCTCTTTCACGAGGAGTAACAGGCGTAAGGCCGACGGTGGCCCTGGGAGGAATCTGAGTGATGCTGTTAATGACTAGTAGGGAAGATATGATACAGTGTGGAAACGTAAGACTTCTAGCCTGGCTATTCAGGTAGTACAAGTTGTTCATATAGTGTCTCCGTGTGATAATTGTGATAGTTTTTGACCTACCTCCACTGAACATTAGCGTTTGTTAAAACCAGCATTGTTGAACGCTTTTAATAAAATTTGCTTTGCAAGACTGTTTCCTGCTACATTCTAACTTCCAGCATCACTGTAAGTCTCACTTCCAAATACGAGAATAATAAGAGACATGTTATATAGATATGCGGATATACTCTGTAGGAAATGGTGCTTAATATATCTTACTGATGAAGAATATGCTCTGTTCGTTCGCTTGAACTGTTTGTTTTGCAGTGCATATTTAAGGGGTTGAATCAACTGTCATGGACAGTAGTAATAAATCACCAAAGTAAACTATGACTGGATGAGAGCAACTGGACTGGAATAATGGTAGTGCTGGAACAATACCCGGATTAATCATTTTAGTATTTGAGACTGACAATTGAATTAACAACAACTTTACTTAACAGAATTAATCCTGGCATCAGAACATCTAACAGCTGTATTGTAGTTAAAAATCAAGGTTTGTATTAGAATAATTTAATCTACAATATAGTGAAATTAGTACAAACTCTCCAAAGTGTCATTTAGTCTACATATTTCAAATATTTACGGATTGGTATAGTAGTAGATTATGATTAACGGACAGACAGGTAGATATTTAAATAAGAATCTATTATTATGATTCACATATAAATCATTCGAATTAATCCCACAACTGAGTACGGGTTAAACAATAGGATTTAAGTAACGTACTTGACCATTACATGCTATCAGATGGTGCATTTTAAGGTGAGCATAAAGTTGTGTAGACTTGTTATGTATGTATTAAACATGTGAGGTCAACGTGCGATTGAGTCGAGGTCTTACGTCATTTGACAACCTACTCCAACCTGTTTATGTCTTATACTGCGGATTGTCATAGTCTGAATCTCTTAGGTTTTGGCCGTTGATGAAGGAAAATATCTGAGAAAGTAGAATAAATCAACTCGTACATCAGTGTAGAAACGAAACTGGGGTTTGGACTGAAGAATAACTGTCTAGGTTTGTCCAGTTGAAACTAAAACAAGGCGATTGGGTAAATGACGGTTGTAGATTTCATTATAAATACGAATGTATATTATTACCTAAACAAGTATTACCACCCAGGTATTCAACCAATAATTTTTCAATCAGTAATCAAATCTAAATTACAATAAATAAACAAGTTGATAAAGGATGTAAGAAAACTACCAAGCGCAACAAATAGATGTTATTCTATCCTGTCTGGATAGGTCACGTGCAGATTCGTTCGAAAGATAATATTTAGTTGCTTTATAACACAGAGTGCTTCCAATTCTGAAAATGTTTCAATTCACAATTCCAGTCAATACAAAGGAGGAACAGATCAATATGGCTGCCACCAAGACTAAGTATCGACTAAAACAACATGAATGCAGTTTAAGAAGAAACATAAAAATTCAGTGAAGGCGTAGGAAAAATAAAAACTACAATAAAATGCAAATATTACCAACTCAAATGGAATAAGAAAGAGTAAAAAAATACACAACTGAGGGAATCTATAGGAATAAATTACAAGTGCATGCATGGAGGGGTTTTCACACAAAACCTTCAAAATGGATCTTACACATCAGGTCTGCAGACAATTACAGTATTACCTTTATTAGAAACTTTTCTCGCCATAAAGTGTCCAAATCTGTCAATGAAAGAGGTAGTTTCCCAATTAGATATTTCACTGACTAGGGCTTTCATCCTCAGAGAAACTTATCGAAGATATATTTGATAGGCTATCGATATATTGGGAAGTGATTAGTCCAAACTGGCTAGCGGTTGTAGGAGATGTGTAACTGAGCATACCCACTAGTGATCTAGTGCGGATGCGTTACCGAGCGCCTTCAGTCAGGTGATTTCAGTAAAATTAATGTGGTCAGCATCAAATGTCGAAGACTTACAGAGTTATTGAGGTTGCGGATTTACTTACCACCACAAACGTATCACAACCATTCAGGCAGTTTGACTATTCTAGAAAAAACGTAATGTCTTTAGTCTCTTTGGGCTAAACTGTTCCACATGTATATACACTTGTTCACGTAAATATGAGTGTCTTTAACTTAGAAAATCAGGCCTGTCAGTGGTTGGTCCTTCCTTTCCAAAAATAGCTATTCTTTGCCCAATCATCTGCATTTGTCCCTTGGCGATTTCTGATTGTTACAGTATCACTATCAGAGATTTCTGATTTTACTATTTATTGACAGTACACTATCTAGATCTTGGTTTTACTCAGTGGACTCAACGAAGACCAATTCATTCTTTCGTTATAGTCATTCCCTTTCAACTATTTTTCACGATTTAATAAGTGTATTTCGAATTTTAAAGATATCAAGAAGAATAAAAAAGACATGTGGTGTTCAAAGGTACGAACGAAACTAACAGAATGATTTTTTTAAACAGGTGATTCAAACAATACAGTTTAAAAACCGCGAAGAGATGGAATTCATGTAGTTATTAAAAATCTAATGTGTAGGGTAAATATATATGAATACATATTTATCTAGCTAACATGCAAGTAATTAGTTTAAGCAGTCATTGTTTAGATGATTATGCGAAATAAATAGTTAGGCAAATGTATACTCACAGTCATAATTACTCGTCTAAAGATATATATCATCATTGTCATCTAAAACTAATGTGACTAGACAATGGGCCCATCGATGATAGTAATAACTACATCCATAAAAGAAATACCAGATGGGCAGAGCCTCTTATGAAACACGACAAGTGAACCTAACTTTTTTCGGACGAAGTGCAACACAGAGTAAGATTTGGTTAGATTTATCCAGTAGTTATCTCTGGTGCCCATGTTTTCTGTTAATAGGGGACTGAAATCCTGCTCCATCGAGGTGATGGAAGATAGATGCCAGATAAAGAAGCATGAACAAGTTATTACTCTGAGGTTTCGTGACTCACACTGACACCTACACGCGAATTTAATTTAATTTTCACAGATAAAGTCGTACAGTATATGACTAATGAGTTCCAGTTGTTTCCGCAATGGGTCAACATATCATAGTTAGTCATGACCTACGCATATACGATTTTTGTCAATCTTCTTGTTAGTTTCACCGACTATGTTGCAATTAATTTTATCTGGTCAGTTATTAATATTTTACAACATTCCTCTTCATACATGTTCACCACAAATTTTTGCTCGTGCTGATGTATTATGCACATATATTTATTGTATAAAGTGGGTAACTCTGTGCCCAAACTTATCAAACAAGCGGTTCATTGAGTTGGCGCATAACCAACTGTCAAGGGCGATGAGGGTTCGAACCCTTTGCCTTTCATGGTTGTGCCAAAATTTCGTTTTTTGGTATCAATATCACTGTGATGTGATTGTTCGTTGTTGTGTTATGTGAGATTTACAGTTCGCATTCGAACTCCAGAGTCGGTGAGAATACCCAACGAAAGTATGAAAAAGTTTATTTTTATTATTGTTGTTTAAACAGTTGTAATTGACATCGTGCCAGCATGTTGTGCCAGTGAATGAAGATGTTGTAGTTGTTGAGTGGACGAATTTCCGTATCATTGTTTGTTCACTAGTTCTAGTTTGGTAGTTGTGGATAATTAGTTACACTGTATTTCATTCTCCACAAGGACGTCAACATTTGCTGACCTCTCAATGCTATCTGGCCATAATTGTTCGCGGCTCAATAGGGGTTTTGGTCTTGGTAACGAGTAGTAACGTGATCTACTGTTAGTTAAACGTTGGATTTGATTCAGTTTTAATTTTAGGAATCTCCCAGCAAGTGGTTAATTACTGTCATCAGCTTGTTTTCGCTGAAATGTCTGAGTATGAGGGGAAACTGGAGCTTATGTTCAAAGGCTCTTTGAATAGCAATGTTAATGATAATAATTCATTTTTGATCAATACTGTATAGTAAGAGTGACGTAAATGTTAGATTAGGTTCTGTGAGTGACTCGAAGAGATCGTATTTTAGACTGCCTGAGCATGCTCAAAAGCCTTTTAGTGGTGATCCGGCAGACTAATCTAGGTTTACCATAAAGGTTGAAGTGCTCTTAGCAGACAACAGATTGTCAAACGAAGTTTTATTCATGTGCTTAGTGAGACAGTGAGCTGAAGTAACCACATGAGCAACTAAATACTGCAAGTTCTTGCCAGCCACCGAAGCATATAATGAGGCGATGATATTGATGCAAAAACTGGGTGGACCGTTTGTGGTCGAAAGTAGAACTTTGAAGCTGTTAGGAGCAACTGTAGGTGAATTGACGACTAACCTAAAGAAGTGACAGAATTATCGGGCATTTCGCTAGCCTATAGGAATACTCTGCTATCTATGGATATGAGCCATGAACTAGAGTTTTTGTGGCCCATTATGTGACCCCGATTTGATTGTGTGATTATAGTTATCGAATGAAAATATCGAAATGTATGTAGTTTTGGTCACTATGTTAAGCTCACACGGCTTATTTTAGCTTTCGGACAGGCCAATTGATTCATTCAACTTGAGTCACATTTTGACCCTGTTAATTATTCATTTATCAACGTTGAATGTTTTTATGTAAACGTAAGTATGTGTATTTCCTATCTTAGTCTGACTATAAATGTCGACTAACGAGTGATTGAATGGAGTGGGCTCACTCGCCTTCTCCATTGCGCGTCATTTTGTTTTGCTTTGCTTCCCGATCAATGATTGTACGAAATATACGTATTCAAAAGTCTATTTTTGTATTTGACTTCTTTAATTCCGTTATTCACCAACGCGATAAAGGTTGTAGCGTGGTGTCGAGTTGGGATTAACTATGAACACCGCTACCAAGAAACACGTGCCAAGTTAATCAGAAGGTGAAGGTAGAACGTAACCAAATAAATCCATAAAATCCCCGAGAAGCCAAATATCAGAAGACAATTAATGGGCCAAATCGAGATATATTTGCTGGCGATCTCGTGGCATCGAAAGGATACCGAGATCGTGCCAGGATACAAGCTTGGTTACAGAACGTAACCGAATTCGCGCGAAGTCACAATCAAAAGTGTAAGTATATGAATGGAAGCACAACA